AGCCACTCCAAGCACCTACCCACCGAGCCACTCCAAGCACCTTTACCGACCGACGCACTCCAAGCACCTATACCGACCAAGCCACTCCAAACACATGTACCGACCGAGTCATTCCAAACACCTACCGACCGCGCCACTCGAAGCACCTACCGACCGAGCCACTCCAAGCACCTCCCCAGCGAGTCACTCCAACAACAGAAAAATTTCCCAAAATTAAATAATCATTCTATAGTAAAATTACATTCTAAATTTCAAATTGTCATTCCATCTTAAAAAATGTCATTCCAATTTAAAACTTTTCCGTCTTACTTGAAAACTTTCCTTCCAAAAATGGGGTATCCCTTCTTATTTGAACTGCATGCTAGAGATGGAATGAAAGTCTGGATGAGTTCATGAAATATTTTAATTGGATTGTCATTCTAAGTAAGGATTTTCAGTCATAAATAGGCTAATCCAATCTAAATTAGAAGATATTTGTTGTAGTGGAATGAAAGTTTAATTAAAATATTTCATAAACTCGTCCAGACTGCTATTCCATCTTGAACAAATAGATGTAGTTGGAAGGGTAAGCTCATACTTAGACGGGAACTTATCAAATAAAACTGTAAATTTTAGAATTGGACGAACGTTGGAATTATAATTTATAAATATAACGGATTTTTTTTTTATGGAATGTTTTTTCAACTTTAATTTCTCGTGGGAGTTTTTCTGTTGAAGTTCTTACCGATCGAGCCACTCCAAGCACCTATACCGATTGGGCCATTTCGAGCACCTACCCACCAATTCACTCCAAGCACCTACCGACCGAGCCACTCCAAGCATCTACTGACCGATTCACTCCAAGCACCTACCAATTGAGGCTCTCGAAGCAACTTAAAAAAAATATATACATATATTACTCAATATATATATTCGAAAAAAAAAAACATTCACATGCACTTTTTAGCGGGCCAGTGCGGGTTTGGTGTGTGGTGAAGCAAAATATGGATTCAAGTGCAACGGGAACCCCGCCGCCTAGCCTGTTAAAAAAACAAATAAAAACCAATATTCTCGACTATTCGTTAGCCAAAAAATAAAATTCATGCGCACTTCTTAGCTGCCGCAGTGCGCGTTTTGAGTGTGGTGAAGCATGTGTGGATCCACGTC